AGAAACAGAAGGCAGACCCAGCCATCAGAAAGCCGTCTGCAAAGACCCCAGTTGTCTCTACTTAACCCAAGGCCGTGCTCTGTAATGCAGAAGACAACTAAGAGGGTAGAGCGGGGCTGGGGGGCTGTCTGCCCCACGTCTAGCCACGGGCTCTCTTTCTGTCAGATTTCTCTTCCACGACCCTTCTTTTATGTTTTGGTCTTGCCTGAATTCTTCACTTGCCAGACACAAAGACCGAGATTATGTAGCTGCCCTAAACTTTCTAGCAACCATTTGATGAATTGGTAGGAAAATTAGGGATGATGTTTTCTCCGCCTCGGACTCATTGAAATGATGTGATGATATACCCTTCAGTGTGGTGTCCTAGAGTAACTTCACTACCCTAAAAGCCTCTGGGATCTCTTTTTGATTGGCTCCATGTTGGTTGTTTTCAGAATTGGAGTCATACAGTTCGTAGGTTTCGTTTACTTAGTAATATGCATTCTGGTGCTCATGGCTCGAGGGAGGTTTGGGCTGTCCCTGAGCCGCTTTGTGCTCAAGGGTAGTGCTCTGTCACTTGAGCCACAGTGCCACTTGTGGCCTTTTCAGAGTAGTTTATTGGAGATGAGACTCTCAGGGACTTTTCTGCCCAGGCTGGCTTTGAACTGCCATCCTCAGATCTCAGCTAGGATTACAGGCATGAGCCACCAGCGCCTGGCTTCATGGTTTGATTCTTTCAGTGAATAATATTCCACTGTCTGGTGTTAAAAATAAATTAGTTGGGAGGCCAACTAATGGAGACAACTCAAGTGCCTTGGGTTCTCATGTAAACAAACAGAAGCTCAATCAAAACAGCAAAAGGAAATGTAATTTACCTAATCAGAAGCCCCCAACGAACCTTCCACTCAAAACTTCCCACTTGAGTGAATTGAACATATTTTCTGTGTGTCACTTTGGCAAACACCTTATAAAACATTCCTCTTTTCATTTCTGCAACGGAGCAATGAACCACTGGTAGTCTGGTGTGATCCGATGCATGTGCCACGCAAAACACAAATGAACGTGTTAGAATTTTAATGTGCAGTTACTATGTGTGAATAAAAAAGACAACAAAAACAGAAAATACTTTAATGAGCCCCACTTTATCTTTTAACACCAGATGCCACATTCAGTTTACCCATTCATCAACGGCTGTAGTTTGGCTCCTGAATGTCCCCAGGTGGTCACCTCCTAGGGAGGGGATGTCGGAGGATTTTAAGAAGTGGGATCTAAGTGTCGCAAGATATAAAGTTAATATGCAAAGCTGCGTAGCTGTTTTGTGCACCAACAATGGACAGGTTGGGACAATAATTCCATTCTCAATAGTCTAAAAATACTTGAGAACAAACTTAGCTAGCAGGTGGTGAAAGATCTCTACCGCAAAAACGATAAAACCCTGAAAAAAGATTGAAGACGGCAACAGAAGGTGAAAACGCATCCAGCTGGGAATGTGGCTTCGTGGTAGACGGCTTGCCTAGCATGCACAAAGCCCTGGGTTCAATTCCTCAGTACCACAGAGACAGAAAAAGCTGGAAGTGGCACTGTGGCTCAAGTGGTAGAGTGCTAGACTGGAGCAAAAACGCAGCTCAGGGACAGTGCCCAGGCCCTGAGTTCAAGCCCCAGGACTGGCAAAAAAAAAAAAAAAAGAAAGAAAAGAAAAGACCTCCTAGGCTCATGAATCAGTAGAATCAATATTTGGAAATGGTTATACTACAAAAAGCAATTTATGGATTCAGTGTAATTCCCATCAAAATCCCAGTGTCATTCTTCATAGAGATAAAAAAATCAATTCCAAAATTTATATGGAAACATTAAAACAAACCTAATAGAAAAGCAATCTGAGCAGAAGAGTAAGGCTGGAGGTATCATAATACATAACTTCAAGTTCTACTACAGAGCAGTAAAAACAACAACAACAAAAATCTCTCTCTTCTCCCGTCCCCAAACATAGCATGTGTAAAACTGACTCAAGTAGATCATCAATAGGAAAGAATAGAAGACCCAGAAAAAAACTCACACCGTTACAGCTACTTGGTTTTTGACAAAGGAGTCAAAAACATATACTGTAGAGAAGACAAATGGTGCGGGGAAAACTGATTATCTCCATGTAGAAGGCAATAGACCCCTCTCATCTACCACAAAACCATTTCAAAATGGATCAAAGGCTTTACTGTAATGAAATCTTAACATGACTATGGGAAGACTTTGGACTATGTAGTCACAGGCAATTATTTTCTGAGAAGGACTGGAAATCGAGTAGCAATTGATAAATGAGACTGCCAACGCTTCTGCATAGCAAAAAAACAATGACAAGATCCAAGAGACAACTTACAGAAGGGAGAGAAAGGCTTCTCTAGCTAGTCAGTGGATAAAGGATTAATTTCTAGATTATACAAAGAACTCAAAAAGTTAAACAGCAAAAGGAAAATAAATGAGAAAACGAATTGAACAGATAGTTCTTAGTGCAAATGGCTAGTGAATGCATGAAGAAAAAAGTTCAGTATCATTAGACATAAAGAAAATGCCAATTAAGAGTACACTGAGCTTCTGCATCATCCCAAGTAGAATAACAATCTTCAAGAAAACAAGCAACACCAAAAGAATTGGGCTTGAAAGGAGGAGCAACACTGATATACTGCTGGTGGGATTGTAGGCTAGTGCAAACACGTGGAAATCAGTCTGGAGGTTCCTCAAGAGAATGACAATATTTACCTTCTGACTTACAAATACTGCTGCCATAAATGGGGATACACAGGCATCTCTCTTGTATATTTATTTATAGTCTTGCATACAGTACATTCATTTGTAGTTAATTTAGGGCCTAATTGAATATACAAGAGAGATAACTGCATATCCATACTTATTCGAGCACTATGCACAATAGCCAAGCTGTGGAATCCATTTATATGCCCAATAAGAAATGAATAGAAAGAAAAGGTGGTCTATATTCGGCTATAAAGAAGAATGAAATTATGCTGTTTGCAGGAAAATAGATGGCACAGAAGATCATCATGTTGTGCTTACGCAATAGGAAGTTCTCACTGATGAGTAGCACCTAGACCTCAACTGATGGTGACAAAATAATCAATACTAATCACGTAGCATAAGTAAAAGAGGGACTCAAAGAAACATAGGTCCCATGGTTTCCCTTATTTGCAATATCTAGTATATGTATGAGTCAAGCGGAAAAGGTCAGATAATGTGATGTCAGGAAAATGAACCCTTAGATATGTATTTTAATGTTTTTTCTTTCATGCATGTGTTTCTAACGCATTTATAAGATTATCTCTTTGTTGCTTTGTATGTCCCTCCCCCACAGTATAACCCCTGCTTTCACTATATTTGATGTCAGTATAACTTGTGGAGGAGATGGGGAAAAACCAGTTGTTTAAGGATACAGGTGGATCTGATGCAACAATGAGAAGTACAAGTTGTCATGTCCAAAACGAGCTTTACAACATCGGTGGGGGGGGGGGGGGTGGGGGGGAGGGGGGAAGGAGAAGGATTGGGATGGGGGGGAGGGGGGAGGCTGGGAAGGGATGGGAAGGGTAAACAAAGGGGCTGCAATGCTTGGTAAGAAATGTACGCATTATCCTGCCCATGCAATTGTAACCCCTCTGTACAGTATGTTCACAAATAAAATAAAATAAAATTAAAAAAAAAAGTAAAAGAGGGAATGTCTGAGGAGTTGGTAGGGAGACTGAGAAATGAGAGGTTAAAGGGGGTGAGGACTCATATGTATGTGTGTGTATATATATTTATAGATTATATTATAAGAGAGAGGAGGAGAAAGAGAGGGAGATAGGAGCACTTAACTCTCATTACAGTGCGTTGCTCCTGGTGGTGTATTTTCTTCATCTCTTCCTGGGCCTAATCTTTCAATGAGGCTTCTTCTCGGGTGTGTTCCTGTGTTCAGGGAAGCCAGGAGCAGCTGCCTGCAGCCTAGGTACCATCCACCATTTCCCACATCTGGGGAGGTGGGGCCCCACACAAGGGGAGGTCTGGGGGAGTTTCCATGTTCCCCCAGCAGGGCTTGGTGTGGGAAGGTGTGAAGTGGTGGGTTCTGGCCAAGGGGTCTGGAAGTCTGAGGGAGTTTTCTTTCCTCTTCAAAGGAGGGATAAGCAGGGAGAAATGAGGCTTTTCTGCCCGTGCTTCTGGCTGTTCAGGGAGGGACAGCCTGGCGGGGGTAGGGGGGTGGGTAGAGGACCAGCTGGGATCTGCGCAGAAGACATTTTGGCCATGGCATTCATCAATAAGGATTTCCCCAATCTGTTGCATATTCCTAGAAGTTTCCTAATAGACTTTCCACTTGCTTTTTCATTCACTTGCTGGTAAAGCTGCTAAAGGCGGGTGTTGATGGGAAGCCCAAAGGAACAATAAAGCCAGGGGCTGGAAAACCCTGGGACTTAGAAAGTAATCAGTGTTGCTTTTTTTTTTAACTTTGAACTCACAGCTTCTATAATTTAGAAGAGGTTCAGATCATAACATTGTTTATTGATTGAGTGAGTGAGTGCCATATTGGGGCTTGAACTCAGAGCCTGGGTGCTATCCTTTGGCTTTTTTTTTTCCTGGTTGGTCATGGGGCTTGAACTCTGGGCGCTGTCCCTCAGCTCTTCAGCTCAAGGCGAGCGCTCTACCACTTGAGCCACAGCGCCACTTCCGGATTATTTCTGCTTCTGTGGTGCTGAGGAATCAAACCCAGGGCCTCATGCATACAAGGCAAGCACTCTACCACTGAGCCACCTTCCCAGCCCCCCTTGTTTTTTTTTTTTTTTTAACTTAAGGTGGGAGATCTACTTGAGCTACAGCTCTTTTTCCAGCTATTTGCTGGTGATGTGGAGACAAGAGTCTCAGAGACATTTTCTTCCTAGGCTGATCTTACTCCTTAGGCCTCAACCAGAAAGTCAGGCTGACATCGCTTGATCATTCATAGGATGGAGTCACAGAGCATGCCCTCACAGGTGCCAGTCTCGCCTCGCTACGTGTAGCTGCGTGACATCGAGGTTTGTGTGAGAGTCCTGTGATATCTGCACCAGCATGAAATCGCGTTTCCCTCAACCCAACTCCGTGGCTATGGAGCACAAGGTGCAGGGCAGGTAAAATACACATGCCTACAGTAGTCACCAGGAGAGGTCGGAGTCTGAAGTGGGGTTAAGTGTTGGCTGCTGGGGCCAAGGGTGACGATGCCGGTGGACACAAAGCACCCTCGCCAGCGTTCACTTACTCAGGACACCGGGAGTAGCACCGGCCTTCGTGCAGGAAGAGCGGCAAGTCCGGCTGCGTGCGGCACGTGGCGCAGCGGTCGGCGGTGGAGCAGGAACCACAGCCCTCAGCACAGTGCTCACAGCGGCCACTCCTGTCCGAGGCCCACGTGCCGTGGGGACAGGAGGCCACGCAGGCCTGAGCCAACAGATAGACACCTAGACACGCAAGGCAGAGAGGAAAAGCCACCGTGAGCGCAGATCTCAGCCCCATGAGTATGGAAACGCTTTTATAAACAATGAAGACCTTGATCGTCAGTGAGTCTTTCTACTCTTCCCTCCTCTCCCACCTACTCTCCCACCTCCTCTCCCACCTCTAAATTCATCAAAGGAAAAAGTCAAGCCTTTCCATCCCTGGTCACAGTCTCCTCCTACGTCTTCTTGTGTTAGGGGTGTGTTTCAAAAGAACAAGAAATATCAAGTACCCATGGACCTTAATACATGGGCCTGTTAACACCTGGCGTGGTCTTGCTTTTGGATTAAGAAACTATCTCTATTTGTCCCTTGATGGTCAGTTTCCATCCACATTGGCCCAGCATTTTTTCTTGGCGAGTCTCCTTGGGGACAGGACCATGCAATGGGACTAGATCCAAGTCCTCCAAAGCCCGGAACTGGAACAGGTTGACATATGAGGTGACAGGAAATGGCCTGCCCTCCCTTCCCCCGTCACTCCCCATACTGACCTTTTGCACACGAAGTGCAACGAGTTCCAGATGCGTCGCAGGTTTGACAAGAAGAAGGACAACGTTGATTTTGTGTGGAAGCGTCTGAGTGGGAGAGAGACAGGCCAGATTGGGCTTTGAGCAGGCTGGTAATGCAACAGCATTGGAAAAGACCTGGCTTCTCTCTCGCCCTGGAACATGAGCTAATTGTTGACACCTGCCCACCTCCATTCTGCAGAACTGTATTGCTTTATTTTCTTCTCCTACTTGTTCATTAGCAATTGATGATCAAGACTTCTCTTTGCAACCTGGCAGTGACGGAAGACATGGTCCTCATGGGGGAAACTGGAACTAACACATATCCCTTTGTTTCCTATGTTCAAAACGTGTGAGGTGAGGGTTGTTGCTATTGTACGTGCTCACGACGGGCCTGCAAGCCACACGTACGAGTTTCCTGACCTGGGTCTCAGATGACCTCTCATTCTGTGTGGCAACCGAGAATACGTTCTGTCTCCCCATTTCTTTTTGCTTTTTTTGCTCTTTTTGGTTGCTGCTATCAGTCCATGCCTAGATCTTTGTGTTTGAGTAATCGCCACGGAATGCAAACTTCATCGATCTCATCTTAGATTTGTCCCAAATGATTGCTCAACATCCACATAATCAACCCACCCACAGACTCTCTGGTTGGCCCAGGGTTCAGCCGGCCCTTCCAGATCAACGCCGCATGAACGTTGTCAATAGCAGGAGTGCCCCTGTCTCCCCTGTCCTGAACTGCATGGGCAGGCTTTTCTCAGGAAGTCTCCTCAGCCCTCCGTGGCACAATTTCAAGAGCCATATACAACCACGTGACTCACACCATCAGCAGCATGTACCAAGATCTCGACTGAAGTTCAGAAAGTAGCTGCATCATAGGGGGACATTAGCAAAAGAGGTTCTAGCTCAGAGCCATTGTAGGCCCCTTACTCTTACTCTGCCTCTCATTTCCCTTCTCTCTCCCTGGGAGTCATCACACCTGCGTCAGCTCCCAGCTGTGTGGTTTGCTGGTTCGCTGGGAGGTAACCATGGCTACAATAATTAAATTCTCCCAGTCCTACTTTCTCTAAAAGGAGAGAAGCTGGTCCCTTCTTCTGGGATTGTTGTGAAGGTTACTGAGCAAGTGCGCACGAAGTGATTAGCACAGTAGCTTGGTCACCCGACTCCATCGCTTCCTTCTGGATCTCTGGATTTTCCCCGTTCCACCCCCTTGTGGAGGCTTCTTGCATTTCCCTCTCCTTCCCTCCTGCCTTTATGCCTGACTGGCTCTGGAAGCCTTCAATTAGTTTAAAAAAGGGTTAAAAAGGTGCAGAGCTTTGCTGTAAAGGAGAGTCAAATATAGATATAGTTAGGGATAGATAGAGCTGAAAAATGTAGATGTTCAAGAATATGCACACACACACACACACACACACACACACACACACACACACACGATACCTACAAGGAGACACAAGTCTCCCTTTATGTATAAATGGTTGTCCGGATGCCATGCTGAGTGGCATGCTTCTTCCTCGTTTGGAAGGAAAAGTTGGCCCAGGTTTCCCCGGATATGATTAAAGCTGATGATTGGCAGATGTATTCCCCCAGGAATACCCCCAGGGATTGTGGCAGAAAGGAGTGGAGAAACTGCTCAGAGCTGTTGGGCTTGGTGACTATCTTTGTCACCAAATGGACCCATGGGATTCTTGACATGACTGATCCTGTCCTTGGGCCTCTTCACCCAGTGATACCATTTAACCCACAAGAGAAGAAAAACATGTCAGAAGTCAATATGCATACTGAGTAGTAGCCAGACACTAGACAGGAAGCGATCAGCCCACAGGCTTGGGATGATTTTCTTTTGATGTTCTCATTTTTGTGCTAAAATGTCTCACTTAAAAAGATGTGTTTTAATTTTTCATACTTTTGTAAAATTTAATGTGCATCGACATGAACATGTGTATTTATAGCTTGCAGATAGTTTACATTGTAATTTGGGTATTTTACTGTTTATACTGGGTGGAATTTGGCAATGTCCCTAGCTGTCCAGCAGAGGGAGCTCTGTACAAGCAGTTCACAGCTATGAAGCTACAACTTCAAACCCAAGATTAGGGACTTTATACCAAGTTAACTTGACCTTGATTGTGATTTACAGTATTAGCCTATTCAATATATTTTATAATTGGCAGAACTTTAAAAGAACAGCAAAAAATGGAAGGGAAGAAAAGTCTCTTTAGGAAAGTACAATGTCTGTCCTTCAGAAGTGAGTATGGCTAACCTACAAAAAGCTAGAGGCTTTGTTTGTTTGTTTGTTTGCACCCACCCATCCTCGGGCTTGAAGTCAAGGCCTAGGTATTGTCCCTGAGCTTTATTGCTCAAGTCTAGTGCCACAGCTTCTTTTCTGGTGTTTTGTTAGTTAATGGGAGATAAGATTCTTAAGACTTTCCTGAACAGGCTGGCTTTAAACCAGGATCCTCAGATCTCAGACTCCTGGGTAGCTAGGATTCCAGGCATGAACCACAGTTTAAAGGTTTTACACACACACACACACACACACACACACACACACACACTTCAAGGTTCAAAATGGAAGAACATCATCTTTTTGAACTTATAATCCTCCCGTCTTTGCCTCTGTCTTCTTATGCTACCTGGCTTACCTTTCTTTTCTGAATTTGATATATTTGGCAGAACATTCGATGAGAGTACCTAATTTTTGATAGCATTATTCTATTTCACGGAGTGGATCTTACGTTGTCTCTCTAGTCTATTATTTATAAATAGTGAGCTTTTTCTATCGTTGCCATTTGAGATAATGTTGCAGTGACGGGGAAGGGAGAAGGGTCTGGAGGAAGCTGGCTGCTGGCGGTGTATGCTTGTAATCCTAACTACTCAGGAGGTAGACATCAGGAGGATCAGGGCGGATGCCAGCCTAGAATAGCTGGGTACACTTGCATGTACCTGTTACCCTAGCAATTTGTGGGAGGCTGAGTCGGGGTGGGGGGGAGGGAGGATCATAGTTATAGGCCAGCCCAGCTTCCCCTCCCATCCCCCTCTCCCCCCAAAACAGTGCTAGTCAGCGTGGTGCATGCCTGTCAGATAAATCTGGCAGACTGGGGCCAAAAAATGAGACCATGACCAAGCAAGGAGAAGGGAAGGGAAAGGAAATCACTTGAGTCCCGGCTCAAGCTGTAGAGCACCTACTTAACCCGGCACCTGGAGTTCAAACCCCAATATCGCCCCTTTCTTTCCCCCTCCCTCCTCCCCAAAACCTACAAGAATAGATTTGTTTTTGGGGGTGAACTGGGGATTGATATGCAGTGCCCGGCCATGGAGCTACAGCCTCAGGCCGAGTGGCTTCTGTTGACAGCTTTTCCAGGCCTCTGAAATGCCCTTACAACCCATGTCCCATGTCTCCCTGGAACATCTCCCCGTGTTGCGTGGATGACCCCCTCCCCCTCTACTTTGACATCCAAGTCCCCCTTCCCCGCTGCTCCCGGCTGCCTGGGCGGGTGCTCTGCTGGTGGAGACGGTGGGTGTGGGGGGTGTGGGGCTGAAGGTTCTTCCCTGACTCCTTGTTACCTCTTTTCATTTGAACCTTCCACCTTCGGGGCTCTGGCAGCAAGTTCTTCACCAAAGATGGGTTTGCACTGGGCACAGCTTCTTTTTTTTATTTAAGAAAGAAAAAGAGAGCAGTTTTTTAAAAATGCAAAATGAAGAAGGAAGAGGAAGCTCACCTAGAACCCCACACCTCTCACTGATCTTAGCTGCGGCTCCTTTGACAGCCAGATGCCCCACTCCATGGAGGGTGGCAAGTATCGGTGCGTGCACAGGTACGTGCGTGTGCAAGCATTCATCCACAGATGCTGCACATGCAATACTAGTCTTGTGCGTCATCTTTAACAGTATGAATCTTGCAAGTGTTTTCTTTGGTCAGGAAAATCTGTTCTTTTTTGGGGGGGAGGGGGCAATATTAGGGCTTAAACTCAGGGCCGGCAGCTTCTCACTTTTATGCTCAGAGCTGGTGCTCAGCCTCTTGACTTGTGCCTCCAGGGTAGCATTTTGTTGGTTAGTTAGAGATAGAGTCTCATGGACTTTTAGGCCCAGGCTGGCTGTGAACCAAAAGCCAAGTCTTAGCCTCCTGAGGATTACAGGCAGGTGCCACCAGGGTCTAGCGTACACTAATGTTTGTTTGTTTGCCTATTTATTTGTATGAATCTCAAGTCATTTATTTCTAGTTACATCTTCAGATTGGCCTCTTGCTTTTGCTGCTGGTGTTGCTGTGAAGAAAACCACTGGGAACATGTTTGTGGGGGTTCGTGCTTATCAAAGCCTGGGGTCTGCCTGGCTATTTGGTATCCTGACAGACCATGATTTTCTGCCTTCTGTCTGAGATTATTTCCTCCAGATCTTTAATATTTCTTAAACCCTAAAATTGCTTTAAAAAAATCAACTAGGAAATGTGACTTTAAGATGAGCTAGTGCCTCAAGTGTTAAGACTAGTTTTATGGAATAGGCTTTTAATATTCTAGATTTGTATGCTTTTTTCACAGGTAATTTTTTTTTCTTTTGCCAGTCCTGAGGTTTGAACTCAGGGCCTGGGCACTGTCCCTGAGCTTCTTTTGCTCAAGACTAGCACTCTACCACTCAAATCACAGTGCCACTTCTGGCTTTTTCTGTGTACTGAGGAAGGAATCGAACCCAGGGCTTTATGCATGCTAGGCAAGCACTCTACCACTAGGCCCTATTCCCAGCCCCACATGCAATTGTAAAATGACTAGGCGAAGTAAGTTTCTCACACTCATTTTATAGATGAGGAAACTGAGGCTCAGTGAGGAAGAGTCATTTGCTCAGAGTTATGCTGTCCATAAAGATCAGAGATGGGATTTGAACTCAGGTCTACCTAACTCTAGAGTTACTTTTTACTTGATGGTGCAAGTGCCAGGCAAGTGCTCCACCACAAAGCTTTTCTTCCAGCTCCTAGAGCTGCTGAATGCTTGAATCCTCCTCCCCTAGACAGCTTCTGTTTTCAGCAGTGAATTTGGATTCTGAAGTAGTTTTAGAGAGGCTAACACAATGGTATGCTGGCTAACTAGTGCTCTAGAAAACAATACATTTGTAGAGTTGACAATTGCTGCGGTGTCAATATTGCCACCAGAGCTCATTTCTAGCAATGTCTGTGGCTGCAAAATTCCCAGATGTTCAACCATCAATGCAAGTCAGTACCACTTGCTCCTTCGGATCCCAGGGCCGAAATGGTAGGTATAATTACCTACCATGACTTGGGTATGCTGCACTTATGTTCTGTGCTCTGATTGGTCAGCTCAATACACATCACATCCCCCTTTCTACAAGCAACTAACATACATAGATGGAGGAAGTCCTTCTAAAGATCAGCTCTCTACGGAATCTTTAGATGAACTTTAGAAGCACTCAACGTTCTGTTACTTTAGAAAAGACTCCCTCTCCTCCCGCCTGGCTTTCAGTATGTGTGAAGGAGTCTGAGAGTCCAGTCTTTCCTTGAGCGTAGAAATTAAGATCAAAAAGATGGGCTAGTGATTAATTGTTAGTATGTGGTCAAAGATAAAAAGTTAATTCCCAGGCCTGTGCATGTAGATTACAGTCCCCTGGCAACATCCAATTAGAGCTAGCTCCAGCATGGGGTTAATCGATGAGGGAAATAGGTAAGTGGGGGACTTTTCAGGACCAACTCGAGGATTTCAGCACTACTCGGGAAGGAGTGGGGAAAACCTCTTAAGAAAATGCAAATGCCTTCACAGTAGCAAAGGAGACGATTTCCATTTCCAGCAAGGGGCGTATGGAAACCAACGAAGTGATCATCTTCTTCCCAAGCCATGACCTGCGGCATGCTATGTCTGGGCATGCGCAGACACGCTGGCTGTGTGTGATGTGTGATGTTCGGGTCACTGCAAAAAGCGATTTGTGGCTCTGTGTGTGTGTGTGTGTGTGTGTGTGTGTGTGTATTCCAGTTCTAGCGCTTGGATTCAGGGAGGGCCTGGGTGCTGTCTCTGAGCTTTGTGCTCAAGGCTAGCGCTCCACCACGGTTCCATATCCAGTTTGTAGGTGGTTTATTGGAGATAAGAGTCTCATGGACTCACAGACTTTCCTGCCCAGGCTGGCTTCAAAGTGCACATCCTCAGATCTCAGCCTCCTGAGTAGCTAAGATTACAGGCAGGACCACCAGTGCCAGGATTGTTTCCCACCTGCCTTCCAGGGTGGGCTGTGTGATCTTTGCATGTGAAACAATCCTATCATTTCTATTGTGGAGGGATAGATGGTACATGTATAAATTTCCCAGATTTTAACAGTGTTTAACAATCAGAGGTAAGACGTTTGTGCCACTTTACCCTTCTGGCCTGAATCTCAATCCATGTTTAAAAAAACCCAACAAAAACAGGAAGAGCAAAAAAAATACCTTAAAAAGCCTTTCTGGTTTCACCTATGGAGCTGCGTCCTCCCATAAGCACTTGCAATGTGTCTGGGTGTTCCCTAACGTGTCCAGGAATGACTACAAATCTGCTTCCCATCATGTGAAAGGTGTGGCTCATTAGCACTTGCTCTCAAAAAGCCTCTGTGGCCTGGTGACACTGCTGGTCTGGCCTGAGAGGGGAGGAAGGCCAGAGAAACACAGAGGCCCCAACTCTCAGCCTCCCCAAGCCGCATAAAACGCGCTTTCTCTTTGCTATCCGCTTGAGTGCTTGGCGGTGGAGCTGTCGCCTTGCCTTGCGTCATGAAGAATAGATACGTCTTCCCCTTCTCTTCGCTGAGACGCTCCGTGTCTTATTTCATGGGTCATCGCCATGGAAAAGTACAGCTCTGTCATTGACTTTACTGCCTTCACGCTGTTCCTGAGTTCCCCATCTGTGCAGAACCCCCTTCCCAGGGAACAAATCCTTCCTTTCCCCCAAACCAATACATTGTCCTGAGGGACAAAGGAGAGGCGATGGGGGAACACTCAAAGTGGGGTTGTTTGCTTGAAGAATGCGTAGTCCAGTTGAAGAGACGTGTAATCATTTGGGGGAAATCACGTCTACCCTGACTCTTGGCTCCCAGGGCCGCTCCCTCATCTGGATGCCAGATAAAATACAGATGTTCTTAGCAAGAAACACAACACCAGACTGTTTCCCTCTTGGCTTGCGCTGCCTCTTAAATGCCTGAATGCCAGACAAACTCTCGCTTGCAGCATTTGGGGTTAGCTATAATTCACGGGAGATATCCAGACTGGGATGGAATCATGTTCTCCTCAGCTCTGTGTCTGAAGTGAGGCCCTGTCTGTTCCATGGTCCTTTGGCTGCTGAGTTTGGGATGGTCAGAGAGCAGCGTTTCCTTTAATACGTGTGCCAGACTGCTGGGAAGCCACAGCGGCTGGGGATACCCTTTCTCTGAAACCAGCCGAGCCCTCTCTTTTCCCTTGAGTCTGTCTGTCTGTCTCTGTCTGTCTGTCTGTGTCTCTGTTGTACGCTCTCTCTCTCTCTCTGGAGCACTAGGAAAGCTTGCTCCATGGGGCCTCCTTTGGCAGCCATGGCTTCTGCACTGAGAAGATCCCGAGCACATACATCACCATTTGCAAACCTGAATAGAAGTCCCTTCATGGAATACGACTTCGATTTTTTTTCCCCAGCAAGGTTTTTGTTTTTATTAACCCACCTTGGGCATGGACATCTGGTGGAGAGCTTGGAAGTAACTTGCCCATGTCAGAGGTACAGGGCAGGGAATTCTAGAGACAGGCTGGAAGGGAGACCTGAATATCTATTATCTGAGGACCCCGGCTCCCACAATTGCTCTTCCTGCTGCCCCTCCTGCAGCTGAGAAGAGAAGCTTCTTTGTTTCTCCCTTCCACTCCCCCAGCCCCACTTTACTACGGATTGGACTTACTTAGGGACTTACTTATGCTAAGCAAGTACTAAGCAAGTACAATGCTGCTGAGCTACCTATATTCCTAGCCCAAAAGGATAGCTTTCTTTTCTCTTCTCTTTCGTTTTCTCTCTCTCTCTCTCTCTTTCTTTCTCTTCTTCCTCCCTCCCTCCCTCCCTCTCTCCCTCTTTCCCTCCCTCCCTCCCTCCCTCTCTCCCTCCCTCCCTTCCTTCCTTCCTTCCTTCTTCCCTTCCTTTTTGACTTCTTTCTGTGTCAGTCCTGGGACTTGAACTCCGTGCCTGGGCACTATCCCTGAGCTTCTTTTGCTCAAAGCTAGTGCTCTACTGCTTTGAGTCACAGCTCCATTTCTGGCTTTTTTTTGGTAGTTGAGTGGAGATAAGCGTCTTACAGACTTTCCTGCCAGGGCTAGCTTTGAACTATGATCTTCAGGTCTCAGCCTCTTGAGTAGCTAGGCTTACAGGCACATTGGGCTGAGGGCAGCTTTTGAAATGCGCGTTTGAATGGTGGCAAGTTCAGGCTCATTAGTAAAATCATGAGTTCGAGCAGAAGTACCAATTAACTAGTCTAACTGGAAAACCTCCCCTTGTGTGTGGAGAGTCCTTTTCTCTGGAATATCGGCATGTGCTGGAAGTTATTTTTAAAAGTTTGGGGAAATGGCCATTGGGCCATTTCCATCCATTCCTGGGCTACTCAGGCATGAAGAAACTCAAGGGCTAAACCCACCAGTAACCAGCTCGGCTTGGCTTGTAGGTGCCCGGGGACCCTTCCTACCCTTTCTCCCTGCAGTTTAACTTAGGGAGCAGGCCACACCTTGATTCTCAGGTTAGACCTGTGGGGTCTACGGGAAGCAGGTGCTGAAGAGGGAGGAGGCTGAGGCCAGCAGGACTGCGCTTACCTTTCCACAGCTCGCCTTCCGCCTGGGCCTGGGCTGGCGGCAGGCACATCCCCAGACGCAGCTGCAGCCCGGCTCCACAGCCGGTGCATTCGTGGGAGCCCCGGCCGGTGCAGGCCGAGCAGGCGTGGTGACAGGGCTCACAGACGCCCACCTCCTGGTCAGTGTAGAAGCCAGGCCCGCATTGCTGCACGCAGCCGCCACCTGGGTCAGAGCACACACAGGGAGGGAGAGCTGAAGGCAGGCCTCGGGCAGCCACGCCGGGCGCAGGAGGAGGCCTGGAGACAGTCTCAGGACACGGGTGACTGCGCTTGTTGAATGGAAAGAAATCAAGATTTTTTCTCTTTTCTTTTCGGCCCATTTCAGTGAAGGAATGTATTTTCATAAAGTGAGCACTTCACTGAAGCCCTCTTTCAGGGGAGAATTTAAATTGGCCATCATCTTAAAGGATAAGCAGCTTTGAATAAAGACTTAAGAACTGTCGCCGCCTTGAATCTGGCAAATAAAACGAATCTATCAAGCTGCTCTTGGGAGCCTCGTGGCTGTCAGCTTAGTTAACTCAGTGGATGGACATCTGGAGGTTGGATGTTCAAAGCCAGCCTAGGAAAAAAAGTCCATGAGACTCCACCTCAAAAAAAGAAATAGCAATCAGCAAAATCTAGTGCGCCAGCTGTGAGTAAGAAAGAGAATCAATTAAGAGCCCCATACTGGGGTTGGGCACCAGTGATTCATGGCAGTAATCCTGACTACTCAGGAGGCTGAGATGTGGGGGTTGTAGTTGGAAGCCAGCCCAGGCTGAAAAGTCCATGAGACTCTTATCTCCAATTAACTGCCAGAAAACCGGAAGTGGAAATGTGGCTTAAGCGGTAGAGTGCCAGCCTTGAGCAAAGAAAGCTAACGGACAGCACCCAGGCCCTGAGTTCAAGGCCAGGTACTGGCAACGGCTGTGCACATGAATGATCTCTCTCTATTAGTCACCTGACCTTGCCGGGTGACTTAAATTCCAAAGCATTTATCTTCAGGTCCCCTCCTAATGGTTCCTCTGTTCCCCAACTTCCTCTTGCTTCCTTTGGCTTGGAGATATTTGAGATTCATCAGGGGGGCATGCGCTAGGCGTCAGTGCTAACTACAGAAGGAAGTAGCTCTGGCTAGTGTATATTGTCAAGCCAAATTAAAATTCCTCCTTTGATCTGAAACTCCTGAGAGTCCTGCACACAGACGGTGGAGACCAACCACAGGAGCCGGGGAGAGGAGCCCCGCCCCGCCTTGTCCTGGCGGGGGCCATTCTGTTCTCTGGCTCACCTGAGAGAAAGAAGCCTTCCGCACACCAGTAGCACTCGTTCTGGTCACAGCTACCGCAGTGAGGGCTGCAGGACCGGCATGTCCACCCTTCCGGGAAGGTCTTCTCTGGGCAGGTTTTATAACAATGCTGCTCAAACCTAGAAGGAGACGAATCCGTTTCTTCTATGAGATAATGGTCTTACCAGTCCTAACTTGACCTCATAGGGGTGTGTGTGTGTGTGTGTGTGTGTGTGTGTGTGTGTGTGTGTGTGCGCGCATGCGTGTGTGCACATGCATACACATGCCGATCCTGGGACTTGAACTTAGGACGTGGTGCTCTTATTTGGCTTTTTCGTTCAAAGCTAGTGCTCTCTCTCGATCTACTTGAGCTATTCTACTTCAGGTTTTCTGGTGGCTCAGTGGAGATAAGAGTCTCCCAGACTCTCCTGCCCTGGCTGGCTTTGAAGCACAATCCTCAGACCTCGGTCTCTTGAGTAGCTAGGATCCCAGGTGTGAGCCACCAGTGTGTGGCTTTATGAAACATTTAAAGAAAATCAGAAGTGGCTAATTGGATTCTAAGGGAGGAATCTTGAACTTGATGTGGCCTGCCCTATCACCCAAACCATTGATCACCTCCTTGTAGATTGCTGGGGTCCTTTAGTTAAAAAGGGGTTCTGGGGGACGTAGGTGGCTAATAGTAATTTATAGAGTCTTGATGATGTGTTCAGAATCAGCTCATTTAAATCTGTGCACAGGGGAGCTATTCCTTCTTTTCATTTTTTTTTGGGGGGGGGTAGGTCGTGGGGCTTGAACCCTGGGCCTGGGCTCTGTCCCTTAGCTCTTCAGCTCAAGGCAAATGCTGTACCACTTGAGCCACAGCACTACTTCCAGTTTTCTGGTGGTTTATTGGAGAGAAGAGTCTCACAGACTTTCCTGCCGGGGCTGGCTTTGAACCATGATCCTCAGATCTCAGCCTCCTGAGTAGCTAGGATGACAGGTGTGAGCCACCCATACGCAGCTTCTCTTGAAACTTTTGATAGGAGAACTCAAAATATAGCTAAGGGAGACCGTAGGATTTTCACCAAAATCGGTGTGAACAGATAGCTTATGCAGCTCACATCAATGCATTCTTGCACATATTATCTATTATTCTCATCATAAACCCAAATGGCGTAATTCACACCCCATGGCCTTGCAGGCTTATCTGGAGGGATGTGGGAATGCCTTTGATGAATTGCCTTTTGATGAATTTTGAAGCTTCAGGAAGGTATCAGGGGAGACAACAGCATTTCTCCTTTAAGCACTTCTAGTGCACGACATTTGATCGGCTGTATTCAAAAGTAGTAAATATCCTAGTGGTTATAAATGTGGTGCTCTACCATGTGAGCCATGCCTCCAGTGTTTTGGCTAGTTAGTTTGGAAATGAAGTCTTGAGGGTTTTTCTGCCTGGGCTGGCTTTGAGCTGCAATCCTCCATATTTTAGCCTCCTGAATAGCTAGGATTACAGGCGTGAGCCACAGGTGCGGGGCCTGATACATGTGTCTTTCTTGAAACAGCTATCTCATGGTGTACCCTGGAGGCACTGGGACATGTTATTTCGGTGCATTTCATTTGCAAAGGACTTCATAGAATGTGCTCGTTAGGGAGCTGTGAGCTTGGTTGGATTGTCACCACATTTCGCAGAGGATGCTGTTTGGTGGCAGAGGAAGCAGGCGCGGGTGAGAGGTATACTTGGGGTCAAGATGAAGAAAAGCAGGGCAGTGTTAGGCTAGAGGAATGAAGAGTTATAAAAGGAACAAAGAAGAGAAGTGCTCATTTGCTTCCGCCACAATTGTTTCTTAAACTTGTGTCTATGCTTTCCTTGTTCTTCAAGAAACGCTTTGTGTGCCCTGACCCATGGAAACTTTCTGTCATGTGTTTCTGCGTGGGGGGACCCGTAGTTATGTTGACTATGAAAATGCTGACAAATCACTCTCTGCTTATGAAATGTCAGCTGTTCGGTCATATAATATAATAACAGGTGCCTCTTCTGTACCCAACCTTCAATGTTCAAATGGAGCGATAATTTAACTCAGTGGGTCAGGAGGGCAGTGATTTAGGACCCAGATATTCTAGAAGAGTCGAATTAAAACCTTCAGACAAAATACAGGGTTAGTCTAAAAGTCTGAACTATGAAAGGCTCCCAAATTCAAAACTTTCTGAGTAATTATAGGATCCTCTTAGTGAAAAATTCCACAGTGACCATGAGCTTTTCTCCATGTACAGAATTGTTTCAGGTGTGTCAAAGCATTATCTCCAGGCTCTATGTAAACAATAAGTTCAGTGTTAGATTTGCTATATCATTACACATACACACACAAACATAGCAAAGCATTAAAAAAACCTGAAACACCTCTGGTCCCAAGCATTTCCACTAAAGTGTGCTCCATCAGTAATCATAAAGTGAACTCAACATTTTGTTTTTGCTATTTTGGGTTTTCCTCACCCTTTCATTGTCTTCACCTGCTTTTTTCCTTTTCTACCCATTCTCAGCTCCTAGAAGGTGATGAAGAAGAGGGCAGTCTGGTGCCAAGAGGAAGCAGGGATGGCCTGGATGTGCACCTGCTACTAGCCTCTGGGCCGTGGGTGGGGAACCAGCACCTCCCTGAGTTTTCCTTCTCTGCCATTTTTCTCCTGCTCCTGAGACGTTTGATGGAAGTGCACAGGACAGGTGGAGATCCCAGAACTCCTCACAGCACTCCGAGTCACTGGCTAGCCTATGCAGTAGAATCTCCTGGGCCTGTCTTTCTCTTCCATCTCTGTTATTCTTAGTTTTTTCCCCCCCTCCGGGATAGGCAAGGCAAGCTGGAAGGGAGAGTAGTTTGGGGAAAGAAGCGTCATTGAAACACTACATCTTGGAGTTTTGTAGATTTTTATTAGAAACCTTTGGGGTGAATGGTTATCTGTGTTTTATTGAACCTGATGGTCTGTCTCCCTTTACTCAGTGTGTGTGTGGGGGGGAGACTAAAAGCTAATATGGCGCCTGGCTTTCCTGCTGGAGTGTCTGACTCCAGTTAAGGGCACGAGGTCTCCCTAGTGACATTTGGAATCAGTTGACTTGGGGTTGGCTATATGATTAAGGTCTGTCCATAAATGACAAGATGTGAATTTTGGTAACTCATGGCAAGATTGCTAGACACCAGTGTCAGGTTGGATGACTTCCAGGATCAAGAGAAGGCCTCCTTTCGAGTCAAGAAACAGCTGGGCTCTCATTGCTGAATCCAAGAATTGCTTATATTAATGAGCCCATAGGACGGAGCTGCTTCAGCCTGCAGCCTCTGCTTTAATCACTGGATTTAGGATTAAGTCAGTAATGCTTAAACTGCAGAAAAGTTAGTGTCAGGAAAGGGGAAAAAAATAAAGCCAGACTTACATGTAATACCCCGCAGCACAGGAGGTACAGCCTCCAGGATCATCTGGAAAAAAAAATTAGGATAATGAAAAATTATAATCACCAGGAGTGTCTTATTTGGAGAGAGAGAGGAAAAAAGGACTTTGGAAAAATTGTGGCTGGAGACAGATAATTTTCTAAGACAGTTTTATGAAAAGTACTGCCCAGATTGCACCATTTTTAATTAGTAACAAGAAGTACACTGTGATTTAGCTTGATCAAAGGTAGTAAAATAAGAGGCCTCATAAAAATCTTGGCCCCAAGTTTCAAGGAAGGATAGGCCTTATGCTACTGGGTCTTCAAATTACAGCTCAACCACTGTCCGCATTACGAAGCTCCTGACCTCAAAGTTGCGGACAGCTTAGCTCTTGATGCTTACCTTGCATGTGAAAGAGACTGGGTTCACACCTCAACACTACAAACGGACAAGCAGACCAACCAACCAACCTCCTTACTGCCTTCTCCTGCCTGGAAGATATCAACTCTCAGATCTGCTTAGGAAAAAAGAGAATTCTGCCCCTTCCTCTCACTGTGAGCTTTCTAAGTACCTCGGTTAGGTCTTCTTGTGATCTGATCTACAGTCCAGTTCTGCTCTTCCCATTTGGATTGGACGTGAAAAACAGCTGTGTCACCTCAAACCAGTCTTCTTGGTAGGTAAAGATTTTTCTGTCACCCTTAACTTCATTTAAGCCAACTAAAACCATGTCCTTAGAACTTTGAGCACAAATGTCCTTTTAAATCTATTCTGGGTCCTACTCTGGTTTTTTCGAAGTCTGCCTTTTATTTATTTATTTTAAAATTGTTATTATACAGGTGATGTCCAGAGGGGTGACAGTTATGAAAGTCAGGTAAAGGGTACGTTTCTTTTTGGACAATGTCACCCTTCTCAAACTCTGCCTTTCGCAGGGCAGATAGCCTCGCCCCCACCTGATCTAGTACACGCTTGTCTTGGCTCTTTCCAGGGTGGATGTAAGATGATTCCACTCTATCTTGCCCAGAAAACAACACATGTATCACACCAACAGTTACAGTGGCATGATTTCTAGAAGAGGCACCCCAGAACCTCCTGGAACTGGTAACAGCCTAGTAGCAGAAAGGGTACGAAGTTGGGAACTGGGTAACCTGTTTCTAGCTTGAAAGTTTAGCCCAGGCTTTGTCTTGTGAACTTGCACACACATCATGGCACTTTCTGGGCTCCAGTTTTGCGGTTATAAAATGAGTCGGTGAGACAAGATAATTACTAGGACTCCTTGAAGTCAAAGATTCTAATGAGTCAAGTAGAAGTGGAGAATCTATGATCCAACCCAGGGCCTAATCCCGCTTTGCCCATTCATTCATACACTATGTATGGATGCTTCATGCTACCGTATCAGTGTGCAGTACTTGCAACAATGGATGAAATCTTTAGACCTGCTCCTTCATAGAAACAGTTTGCTGACCCCTGGTGATATATTGCTAGCTTATGACTTTGTCATGATCATCTGTTGTTGTTGTTATTTTGTTTTTGTTTTTTGCAATGAAATTAGGGTGTGATCTCAGGGCCTTGTGTCTCATTTGGCTTTTTTGCTCTACCACTTGAACCACAGCTCCACTTACAACTTTTTGCTGGTTAATTGGAGATGAGTCTCTCTGATTTGTCGGTACAGGTTGGCTTTGAACCAGTAGTGCAGAAGTCAGCCTCTTGAGTCACTAGGAGAAAGCCTAGTGTAAGAAAACCACCTGTGCCCAACCACATTTATCTTTGTCAGGTAGTACAGATGTTAATAGGCTTGTCTTCACAGATGTTTCCAGAATTTCTCTTAGTGAGTTACTTATACACTTAGGAGATGAATTGTTGAGCTTCTTGGGGTAGAAGTTTAGCTGGAAGCATTCTGTGAGAGGCAAGATCATCATAGGGATAGAAAGACCCTTGTGGAAGAGAATATGATTTGCTCATGAAAGGCAAACTATTGAAAAAAAAATGTTTGGGTCACCTTTAATCCTACCTAATAAGGAGCCTGAGATCTGAGGATCATGGTTTGAAGCCAGCTTAGGAAGGAAAGTCCATGAAACTCTTATGTCCAAATGACCACCAAAAAGCTAGAAGTGGAGACGTGGCTCAAGTGGTAGAGCACTCACCTCGAGCAAAAAAGCTCAGGGACCATATCCAGCCTGTGAGTTCAAGCCCCAGGACTGGAACAAAAACAAAACAAAAACAAAAACGAAAGCAAAACAAAATGTTTGCATCAAAACAAATGCTGGGTCAAAATTGGGTAGCAAAATAAGCCCCCAATCAAACTAATTACGAGGAGGCAGAAATTCCCAGCTAGAGAGGCATGTGAGAAAGGAAAGTTCCCTGACATTCTTAGAAATCCTGGGGAGAGCTTTGTGCTTCTAAATCCCTTTTAAGGGGACAGAGGCCCCAGTTTTCATTAGGGCTTGTTCATTTCTCGTGATGAGTAAATTTTTGCGTCTACATTCTTCTCAATTTTTCTAAATAACTTGCATTTTGGCAGCTAACTTTTCTCTCTCTGTCCCTGACCAATATCTTTGACTCAGATGGTTTTGCTAATTTGGCAAGGACCTGGGCAAGTCTGTTTCTCTTCTTTAATGTTCTGGTCATCTGTCCCCTCTACGATCTTAATGAGTTTGCTCTCGGGTCTTTGAAACAGGTCACTGATGAGAATATTAAACAGAATCAAACCTCACAAATGTGCATAGCAATATCACCCTGAGTTCAGGGACTCTTCCAGTCCAGTGGTACCCGTGAACTTGGTACCTTTATAACAATTTGCCCACATAAATAATGCATATGCCAGGAAATGTGCCTTCTAACAGATTATGAATGCCCATTAGCTTTTCTCATTATCACCAGTTGTTCTAAAGAACAAGAATTATAATTTTTAAAAAGAAGTTTCCACTCCATAAGACCCACTAGTCAGACATGAGCTAAATGGATTTAGCTTGACCACTGAGAGGCAGCTGCTACAGGATTAAAGAAAAAGGTAACAATCCCAAACCTAAAACTTGACTCTAAGTCAACAGGGCATTCAGATGGAAAGGTGGGGTAGCTTAAGGGAAAAGATGATTTTTCCTGGCTTCTCCTGTCCACGAGGGGAGTGGAGATAGTTAATTATCTTGGAATGTGGTATCTAAAGCAGGATGTTGGCATAACTTTGACGGTTTACAATTTTTTTAATTGTTGTTATAAAGGTGATATAGAGAGAGGTTACCACTTCACAAGTTATGACTACAATTTACCCTTCCCACACTCTCCCGGCTTTCCTCACCCATCCCTATTCACAAGTGCTATCGTTCATTTTCAACATAGTTTCTTCACCCTCTGTCCCTCCATTTCTCTGCCCCTCCTTACTCTCCTAGAGACAGATAAACAAACAAACAAGGCAAGAAGAAAAGAAAACAAAAATATCAACAAAGAAAATAACCTCTTGTTTCCATTTCCTAGCTTTCATTTCACTATCACTTCATCCGAGCAGAGACACACAGTCTATCACTGCGCCTTTGTGCTCTTCCCCCAAGAGCATCCTCATTCGGTCTCTCTTTGTGCGAGTGTCTAGAGTCCTAGTTTTGGTTATTTGATCTTGTCAAATGTTGGAGCTGAGAGAGTCAAGTTTGATCTGTCAGAATTCAATGAGAGCCTCACACGTTTAGGAAACCAAGCCTTCGAGTGACTGGCTTCTGGCTGCTCACATTCCTGCTAAGAGCACACGTAACGGGCAGGGGCCTGCTCAAGATGGGGGCCAGCCTTCGTTTCTTGAGAGAAATTCGTTCTTGTTGTATTGTGGGAAAGGCCTGGGCTGGGCAGAACTCCAGTGTCTAGTGTCTATGGAAAGCTTTGCCTGATCCTCTGAGTTACCTTTGCACGGTGTCCTTGGGGAATCATCACAAGGCCTCTGCCCCCAAAGAAGCCCTGACCCTTCTCTCCACAGCCCACAGTGGTCAATGACATCCACCGTGTTCTCGCAGATACCCGCAGCCTTCCCCGTTCAATATGGAAGCAAGCCAGCGCCAAGGGCGCTCAACATTCAAACACATCCAGAAGAGAGGGATTTATTTTTATGCTTCAAATAAACTTCAGGTTCTGTCACTAAGGATACACACAACCCCAAATGCCTTTAATCTGCCTTTTGATGATTTGATTGCTCTTCTTGCATGTTTATGTTTCATTTAGAGAAAGTGAAGAAAGTCAGAGCCTTCAGGCAGACGTGAAAAAATCATAGGATATCTATCTGCGCTTACATCAGTCATGGATTAGATATGATATTGAGGCAGAACGGACCGGCAAACAGTGGGTGAAAGGTGATTTTAGGGTGTTCTTACCCTCTCTTTGGCTATTTCCTCCAAGCTTGTAGGACCTCTGCTACCATGCCATGCTACCGAGACCTTCCTGTTATTCTCTCCTGACGCCTGTGTGTCCTGTGTCCCTTCTGAAAGGACTGACTACTGCCCGTGATGGTAGACTGACATATTATAGTTGGACTCTTGAGAGAATCCAAGCCTTCACTCCCCACAGTCTCTTAAGTTCCAGAGTCCTTAAGTTCCTTCTACCTTGGTTCTCTAAGGCCGCGTCGGTAAGTATTTCATAAAATATCATCTATTTTATTGTAGTAACACCACCTGCATGCTTGCTTTCCCCAACCTTTTGGTCTCAACCTTTTGGCCCAGTCATCTTCCTTGGTGCAATCATCTTGGAGCTCTTGTTAAATTCCCTAGATACATCTTAGCCAGTGTCTACCACACTCAGGCAAAGGGTTAGACCAGTCCAGTACCCCCTTCATCCTTCCTAGAGTTCAACCCCAATCCTACTCCAAACTCCATCAATATGGAAGTCAGTCATACTGTCCATCCTTTTTGCTGCTCACCCCATTGGATTAGAAAATTAGTATGTACCTATAATGCGTATGTGTGCATAAATGGTTGGATATTATTAATATTTATTATGTACTAATTAATAGGTATTATGTGCTAGTGCATTAGTATTTGCACCTGTTTTTATTATTATTATTTTTTGGGTCCAGTCGTGGA